GTCCTGAAACCTGACTGGTTTGGATCAAGAAGGTCATTCTGAGAGAGATAGCAAGAGAGTTGGCTAAAGACGGCACGCTCAATAGTTTTGGAAAGAAAAGAAAGAAGGGATACTGGTCTGTAGTTGTTGACATCAGTGGGATCGAGTGTTGGTTTTTTGAGAAGGGGTGCAACTCTCGCTCTCTTGAAGACGGAAGGGACATAGCCAGCGGTCAAGGATGAGTTGATCAGCGAGGTGAGGTAGGGGAGAAGGTCACCGGAGATGGTCTGGAGAAGAGAGGAGGGGATGGGGTCAAGCGGGCAGGTTGTTGGGCGGCCTGCAGTCACTAGTCGCAAGATTTTACCTGGAGAGAGAGGGGAGAAAGAAGTCAAAGCATAGGGTAGGGCAGTGTGAGCAGGACCAGCAGTGTCATTAGACTTAACAAACGAGGATCGGATGTCGTTAACCTTCTTTTCATAGAGAGGAGTAACTATGTATGTTGACTATGCATTTGTGTCGGTATGAAAGGAGAGCTCCGGTTCAGGGCAAGCAGTTGTTCCATGGAGCAAGCTCGGCTTTGTTACGCAATAAAGTCTAATTTTTTGGATTCACAAGCTCCAGTTTCTTGAGAGATATTTTGTGAGTTGACTACTTTTGAGTTAAATATTTCTACGACAATAACAACATTAGAGGATGAGAAATCCAAAGTTTAAAAACAAAGTTGTCCATGTATGCCGATGACTCAAGTTTTATATTAAGTCCTCAAGCTAGATCCCTGCAATGTCTCATTGAAGATCTAGATAACTTTTCTGGACTCTCTGGACTAAAACCTAATTATGATAAATGTACAATATTACGTATTGGATCTTTAAAAACTACAACTTTTACATGACCCTGCAGTTTACCTATAAAATGGGCTGACGGTGAAGTAGACATACTTGATATTCATATCACAAAATATATAAATGAGCTCTCTAGAATGAATTTCACTAGAAAACTAGTAAAAATAGACAAGATCCTGCAACCATGGAGAGCTAAATACCAATATATTTAAGGTAAAAATGCCCTGATTAACTCCTTAGTTATATCTCAGTTTACTCACTTACTTATGATGATTTTGTTTTTCAAATCATATGAGCAAAAAATATTTAGCTTTATCTGTGATGCTAAACCAGACAAGATAAAGCGTGCCTATCTATATCATGAATATGAACTGGGTGGGTTGAGATTATTAACTCTAAAAGCAGTAAACCTCTCTCTAAAAGCTTCACTTATCCAAAAGTTTTACTTGAACCTGCCTTCGCTTTGTCTCCCCCTCCTGTCCAGCTCAGGCGTTCGGCGTCGCCGGCCTTCTAGCTGCTGCCGAACCTGCTGCTGGCGAACGCCCTTCACTCATCAACCCCGGACTTGTCTCGTCATCATTACACACACCTGGTTCCAATCCCTACTCTATCACGGTATATATACTCTCTCTGTCATTTGTCTTTGTCAGTCATTGTATATGTTGCTTGTTTTCCTGAGAGGAATCTCTCATACTATTTCCCCTGAGTACTTTATATTTTGCACTGTGGGTTTCGTCCCGCTTTAAGCTATGGTGCTTTAATAAATTCAGTAGTTCTAAAGCTGCGACTGCCTCCTCCTCTCAACACTTGTGACAGAATGACCGACCCAAGAAAACAGGAGGCAGCAGGACATCCCGACCTCTCCGCTGCAGCTCCTACAGCAAGACTCGTGCCTGGAGCACCTCGGGACTGCCATGGACGAGGTGATCCGGACCGTACGCCAAATTCAGGCTACACCTCCACCATCCCAGCTCCTCATGGTCGTTCCAGCCACCCCACCACAATCTACATCACCCGTTCCGATCAGCAACGTCCACCTGCCCCTCCCGGAGCAGTTTGACAGCACCCCAGCTCACTGTAGGGGGTTTCTCCTGCGGTGTGACCTCCACCTTGCACGTCATGCCGGGACGGCCTCCGAGAGGGACAAGGTGGCCTTGGTGATTTCAGTGCTGACGGGCCGGGCTCTGGAGTGGGCGCACGCCGTCCTTCTAGCTGCCGTAAACACCCTTCACTCTTCAACCCCGGACTTGTCTCGTCATTACACACACCTGGTTCCAATCTCCACTCTATCACTGTATATATATATATATATATATATACTCCCTCTGTCATTTGTCGGTCGTTGTTTATGTTGCTTGTTCTTTCCTGCTCCTGCTTTTTTTCCTGAGTACTTTATATTTTGCACTGTGGGTTTCGTCCCGCTTTAAGCTATGGTACTTTAATAAATTCAGTAGTTCTAAACCTGCGACTGCCTCCTCCTCTCTACACTTGTGACAGAACCCTAAATGGTTCTCAAGTAGATTACTAAGAAAAGCGAATGTATTGTTTTATAAATGGCCATTTTGCCTTTGTGCAGATTGCCATGTCTCATTTTCGATTAATTGAAAATTAAACTTTTTTTCAAAGTATCTCAATTTTTCAAACAAGCATTGCTGAGCTGACTTCAATTTCATCCCCCTGAGAAGATGGAACAAATATTACAACAAATATTATGGCTGAACTCAAATGTGCTGGTTGATAAAATACTTGTATTTATGGAAAATATGTTTGAAAAGGGTATTTTGTTTTTAAATGATATTGTAAATTGGAATGGTAGTTATGTCTTTCATTTAGATATCAGAATTGTATGGGAAGGTCTGCTCAATCCAAGATTACAACCAATTGATTACAGCATTACCTCAAAAATGGAGGAGGCTGGTGGCAGCGGGAGGAGGTAGGGAACTGGTCTGTCTGCCCAATATAAAGGATCAAAACTGGCGGAGGAATAAAAATAGCATAAATAGGAAAGTATACCAGTTTCATTTGAGGACCAGGATGTTGACAGCTGTGCCATACAGATTGCAAAATAGTTGGGAAGAGATTTTTGATGTACCGATTCCATGGTACAGGGTGTACAAATTGATATATAAAACGACTCAAGATTAAAGACTTCGTGCTTTTCAGCTAAAATTATTGTACATAATTCTTGCCAGCAACAAAATGTTGAATATTTGGGGCGTACAATCATCGCAGCTCTGCAGATTTTGTTGTGAGGATACAGAATCAATAGACCATTTGTTTTGGTACTGCCCTCAGGTAGCCTGTTTCTGGTCTCAGGTTCAGGAATGGCTGAAAATGCATAACATGAATCTAAAATTGACCCTAGAAATAGTATTGTTTGTGGATATCTGGAGAGACCGGGTCAGCCAATTACTAATATACTAATACTCTTAGTAAAAGTATTTATCTTCAACTCGCAATCTGTGGATTCTATTCGATTAGATATTTTCAAATTGTATGTTAAACATCACAGCATAGTTGAAAGATATATGGTGCGTAGAAATGCAAAAAGTATGTTTGAATGACACTGTTTGCCTGAAGCTGATGCCGTGCAGGTGTTTGTACACATGCATATACACACGCTCTCATTAAAATACACACACGTGCACATACACGGACACACACACACGCACATATACACACGTCAAAAGAGCCATACATGCACTCAAACGTATTCAGTTGGCCTTGCTGTTATGATTGTTGTTGTCCTTGATGACTTTTGTTTTTTTTTGCGTTGTTGTTTTCTGTTTTCCTTTGTCTTTTCTTTTGTTCATTTTGTTGGTGCATTGGGGAATGGGGGCTTGGGGACAGGGTCTTGGGGGTGGGGAATGGAATTATTTTATATTTCTCGGGGGAAACTGTGTCTTGGATGGTTGAGGGCAGCTTTTGGGGAACTGTGGGGGGGGGGGGATCTTGGAGGGCTGGTGGCCTGGCGGTTGGGAGCTTGGGCCGGTGGCTGATGGGTCGCTGGTTCGGGTCCCCGTTTTTGACCTTATGGGAGATCTGTCGACGTGCCCTTGAGCAGGGCGTTGACCCTGGTTGCTTCTGTGGGTCGCTCTGGATGGGAGTTTGTTAGATGACGAATGTCATTTAGATGTTCAGCGGCTTCACTGCAAGCATATTGTATGATTAAAATATTCAAAATAAAAATAAAAAAATTAATCTGACATTATGCATTGGGAAGATGCAGTTTAGACAGTTTGTTAATTGGCAAGACGTCTTGCGGATGTATTTAGAAAGCCTACATTTTAAATGATACAGTTCTACATGAATTTTACATTGTCCAGGCATCAACATTCTATTCTCAACAGAATAATATGCTACTCTGCCTCCTCGGGCATCAAGCCTTAGCTAACCCACAAGAACACTTCAAAATATACAACATTGCTCATATACAGTATTTGGTTACCTCAGGACTGTCTCTGTGTGTTTGTGCATTTGCCTTCAGATATTTACTGGCATATTATTTACTGTGAGGTGTAACACTGGGTCCTCCAGCAAGTCAGAGAGCTGAAATAGTACCAACAGTATTAAAGTTCAAGTTGATTTCATTCAGCCTGTTGTTTGAGCGTTTGCTTGAGCCTGCCTGGAGTGCCAGATGGGTGGGTGGGGTTTGCACTTTCCGGACTATTCCATTGATTCCATTGCGCCAGGCAAGCTAAATCAAGCACAGCATTTAAAAGTTAATAGACACAGGGCTGGTGCCATCCCCTACTGCCATTGTGGCCTTGAGCAAGGCATTTAACCCCTGAACTGTTACAAGCGTAGGGCTGTAATGCTGACCCTGTGCCGCTCCCCAGCCTGTTGCATTAACAGTCAGGAGATTGGGTATTGTGACAGTAAAAATATCCACTTCTCGATTTGCCGTGAAGCGTTGTGGGATAATTAGGAGTACAGCGGCACCTTCGTTTTTTCAAACCCTTTCACTTGAAGTTCACCGACGTGCACATGTATTGGCATATGTTTGTTACAGGAAGAGAGCATTCCTTCTAGTCGTAATGTTATGGCTACACAAAGAGAAGTCCTGTTCCACCCAACTGCCACGCAGACATAATGTAGTAAGATAACTAGCAAGACAAAGATAACACAGCTCACAGGTTATAGATAGTACTTGGTATTCGGCGCATGTGACCAATAAAATGTGATTTGATTTGATTTGATATTCTCAGATAGCCATGTCTGGATTGTCCTCCTTACATATACAATTCAAATAGGTTTCAATACTGAAACTCCTCATTGAAACAATACCAATGTGGGTGTTCAGCCAATCACATTAAATGTACTTTACACTGCATGTTCTTCTCATGTTTCCTCCAAGACGTAGAACTGTGATTGTAATATGTGACTATTGAAAAAACCAACGGAAATGTGTCCTCCCTCATAGCATTCCGTATGAGAAAGCTTTATTGAACTAATGTAGTTTTACAACTAGGCCTACATGTTTTCAGACGTTCAAATCGAAAACGAGATTTCCTAAAGTAAAACAGACAAAAGGAGGATTCCAAGATCATGGCATCCAGATTTTTATAACATGACATTTTTACAATGGCGGGCCGGGCATGAACTGATCAGCTGAACTACCATTAAAAAGGATATTGTAAGAAGAGCATAGTTTCAGTCAATGTGAGGTCAATGCAAACACACGCTATAAAACGTTTACCTACCTAATATAAAAAAGTGTACCTTGCTAATCTGAATGAAACATTTAGCGGTGTACGTATCATCCAATTAGCAGAGTAACATGTCAATAAACACACAAAAACTCAACAACACGCTCTTACAGTTACAATGTCTTCTCCTTTGGTTGGAATGGCCCTTTTTAAAAAGCTATAGATCACAAGAACATCTAGTGTTGTTAGAGTGTGATAAGACACAAAGAAATACCGCAGGAATCTTTCTGACTCCTAGACAGCGTTACTAAAAAAAAGTGCATGGCTTCCTTCAGTCTTTTCATAAGGGCATAATTATAATCTGCAACATCAACTCAAAAATAGATATTTTCTCCCCAGAATATGATAGACCTAGTCTGGGTTCAAGTCTGTATAGCTAACATTCCACTCTTTTGTACTCCGTGGCACATGACATGGAGTACAAGTAATGGAATGTTAGCTAAACAGACTGGAACCCATAATATTACTGTGAGGAGGTGTAACACTGGGTCCTCCAGCAAGTCAGAGAGCTGTCAACTGTTAGCTAAACAGACTGATAACCAGACTATGATAGGCCTACCACTGGAATAACTTAGAGACAAGTTCCACAATATATTTCCCATATACATCCGTTAACCGCTTGTCCTTGCATTGCTTTAATTGATGTCCCAGCACACAGGGTGTGTTTCAATTGAAACAGGTCATTCTCCTAGTGGAGGAAAACCTGCAAAATGAAAACAATAAAGCTGGTTACATAGACTGCAGAACATTACAATAGTGTCCAATAATCTGTCCTTTCTCCCTAAGCATGCACTGTATTTACTGGTATAATAAATATTGTGGAAACTCTGTCTAGCACATACCTACACCTATCCCAATACTTTTAAATATTTTTATTTTTATTTCACCTTTATTTAACCAGGTAAGCCAGTTGAGAACAAGTTCTCATTTACAACTGCGACCTGGCCAAGATAAAGCAAAGCAGTGCGATAAAAACAACAACACAGAGTTACATATGGGGTTAAAACAAAACAAAAGTCAAAAAATACAACAGAAAATATATATACAGTGTGTGCAAATGTAGCAAGTTATGGAGGTAAGGCAATAAATAGGCTATAGTGCAAAATAATTACAATTAGTATTAACACTGGAATGATAGATGTGCAAGAGATGATGTGCAAATAGAGATACTGGGGTGCAAATTAGCAAAATAAATAACAATATGGGGATGAGGTAGGGAGACGTGAACGAGTGCACACTTCAGGAAATGTGTAGTTACATAACATTTATACTGCATGAATATATAGGCACACACTTGCAAAATAAACAGCTATTTAGATCAAAAAGCTTCAAATATTTCGGAGAAGCGCTAGCTAGCTAGCCTACCCGTTTCCAGTCTGTTGGATGGAGGAATACAGATGTTCGTTAGCCTAGCTAGCCTACCTGTTTCCAGTCTGTTGGATGGAGGAATACAGATGTTCGTTAGCCTAGCTAGCCTACCCGTTTCCAATTGGTTGGATGGAGGAATACAGATGTTCCTTAGCCTAGCTAGCCTACCTGTCTCCAGTTGGTTGGATGGAAGAATACAGATGTTCCTTAGCCTAGCTAGCCTACCCGTTTCCAGTCTGTTGGATGGAGGAATACAGATGTTCCTTAGCCTAGCTAGCCTACCTGTCTCCAGTTGGTTGGATGGAGGAATACAGATGTTCCTTAGCCTAGCTAGCCTACCTGTTTCCAGTCTGTTGGATGGAGGAATACAGATGTTCCTTAGCCTAGCTAGCCTACCTGTCTCCAGTTGGTTGGATGGAGGAATACAGATGTTCCTTAGCCTAGATCTGGAGGTTGATGAAGGGAGCGAACCCCACCACATCCTGCAGTAGCACCAAGGGATAGACAGACAACAATACATATTTCAGACTGACTTTTTGGTTTGTATGGTCCTTGCAGTACAATTGCTTTTATCAATGCCTCAGTGAAACAATACAAGACAACGCGTGTGTTCAGCCATTCACATTAAATGTATAGGGTACCGGATGTTCTTCCAAGTGGTAAAACTGTGTGGGTGATATGTGATTATTATTATTATTATACACTAATTGTGATTTTCTAAATGACAGTAATAATTGTACATGAGCGTGTCCTCCGCCCTCATACCTGCAGCAGCACAAGGGCCCTCTGTAGTGGTGGCTCCACATCGATCTCTACATTCCTCTTCCGCAGGGGGTCCAGACTGGACTCAGTCACGTTGTGACAGTGGTTCACCTTCAGAGACTGCAGCTTGGGGCAGTACTCTGCAACAGTCCTGCGCACGCGCACGCGCACACACACACACACACACACGCACACACACACGCACGCACACACACACACACACACACACACACACACACACACACACACACACACACACACACAGAGGACCAAAAGGTGTAAGGACAGGATTACCAGTGAATATCAAAGTAGAGTGCCACTCCCCTTCATCCAAAGCAAGCCGGAGCAGGACATAGTCTGCAACCGTCCTGGACTGCAGAGTCGGACAAACACAGCATGAACATGGTTCTTACAGGTGTGCCACTGAGGATGTGCCACTGCAGATCTAAAACATGTCACAGTAAAACACTGTGGGTTTTGCACCCAAAAAGTGTCAGCCCAGAGCGAGACATACAGGTGGAACATGACAGTAGAATAACAGTGACAAAATGAACCTGACTAGCATATGAACCTGACTAGCATATGAACCTGACTAGCATATGAACCATACTGGACCCCCGTGGGAATCGAACCCACAACCCTGGCGTTGCAAACGCCATGCTCTACAAACTGAGCTACATGGGACCTGACTAGTATATTAACCTGACTAGTATATGAGCCTGACTAGTATATAAACCTGACTAGTATATAAACCTGACTAGTATATGAACCTGACTAGTATATGAACCTGACTAGTATATAAACCTGACTAGTATATAAACCTGACTAGTATATGAACCTGACAAGTATCTGAACCTGACTAGTATATGAACCTGACTAGTATATGAACCTGACTAGTATATAAACCTGACTAGTATATAAACCTGACTAGTATATAAACCTGACTAGTATATTAACCTGACTAGTATATAAACCTGACTAGTATATGAACCTGACTAGTATATAAACCTGACTAGTATATAAACCTGACTAGTATATAAACCTGACTAGAACCTGACTAGTATATACACCTGACTACAACCTGACTAGTATATGAACCTGACAAGTATCTGAACCTGACTAGTATATAAACCTGACTAGTATATAAACCTGACTAGTATATAAACCTGACTAGTATATGAACCTGACTAGTATATAAACCTGACTAGTATATGAACCTGCCTAGTATATACACCTGACTACAACCTGACTAGTATATGAACCTGACAAGTATCTGAACCTGACTAGTATATAAACCTGACTAGTATATAAACCTGACTAGTATATAAACCTGACTAGTATATAAACCTGACTAGTATACAAACCTGACTAGTATATAAACCTGACTAGTATCTGAACCTGACTAGTATCTGAACCTGACTAGTATATGAACCTGACTAGTATATAAACCTGACTAGAACCTGACTAGTATATGAACCTGACTAGTATATAAACCTGACTAGAACCTGACTAGTATATGAACCTGACTAGTATATGAACCTGACTAGTATATGAACCTGACTAGTATCTGAACCTGACTAGTATATAAACCTGACTAGTATATGAACCTGACTAGTATCTGAACCTGACTAGTATATGAACCTGACTAGAACCTGATTAGTATATGAACCTGACTAGTATATAAACCTGACTAGTATATGAACCTGACTAGTATATGAACCTGACTAGTATATGAACCTGACTAGTATATGAACCTGACTAGTATATGAACCTGACTAGAACCTAAATAGTATATAAACCTGACTAGTATATAGATAACCTACATTAGCAAAATACACACACACACACACACACACACACACACAGAGATGATACCAATCATTTGAGCAGTCAGTGTATCAAAACAACAGCACCTGATGGAGTTGTTCCTAACCCTCAGGCAGCCTGTCAGGTCTAGCTGTTCCAGCTCCCTGCAGTTCTTGGCCACTTCCTCCACAGACACGTCTGTAATGTTGGCGTTGACCGCCACAGACAGCGACCTCATCTTCACACACTTCTTGGATAGATAACAGATGGCCTCGTCTTTGAGCTGGCGGCAGGCGGTCAGGTCGATGGACCTCAGGCCCCCACAGTGGTCCGCCAGGCTGCGTATGGACAGGCTGTCCACCCACTCACAGTGGGCCAGGACTAGGTACTCCAGGTGTGTGCAGCTCAACGACACGGCTACTAAAGAGTGACGGGTCAGCCGGTCACACCCCCTCATGTCCACTCTCAGCAGGTGCTGGTTCTGGCCAATCACAGGCAGCAGCTCCTTGTCCGTCACCCAATCGGAGCAGTTCTGGACGGACAAGTTCTGAAGGACTTTGTTGTCCCTTAGTATGTTGCTGAATGCCTCCTTGGGAAGGCTGGGCCCGATCTGGGAACATTACAGGAGTGTGATTGTAAACTGGGTATTAGGCTAAATAGTGTATGAGCATTTCAGTACAAGAAACTTTAAGGAAATCCTGGACTAAATAGAATGGATAGTGTGTGGCCTACCTGTGTGAGGTCAAAGATGCGACAGTTGGCCAGGTACACCTGGATGAGGGCATAGAACTGCTTGCTCACTCTCTGTAGCCGCACCAGCTGGCGTAATGGCAGGTAGCAGAAGATGTGTGTTACCAGCACATCCTCCCAGGGCAAATCCAAGAGGTGACATCTGCCAACAGACATTTAAAACTTGATCAAATGATGAACAAGTTAATGGACTAGCACAGTCACACAGCAACGTCTGCCTCGCGTTTGAACTAGCTCTACAAACTAGATTGATGGCTAGATACGTTAGCTAGCTCGCTCAACCATAAGGAATGATGTGATGATTCTGCAAGACAGGGCAGGGCATGCATTCTCCAACTGCCGTAGCAAGCTACGGTAGCTAACGGTTAGCTAGCTCCGCTGACACTTTTTTATGGTAAACAAAAATACATGTGTGCTTACAAAATACATACTTGCAACACTCTGTTTCCGCATCCATTTTGAATCCACAGAAATATGCGAGATAGCTAACAAACTGTCGTTGTACATGTAGCTATCTTGTGAGCCTTGGTTGAAGCTTTCTAGCTCAGCTTTTTGGGCTGTATTCCCGAACTTCCGGGTTCGAACACTGGGTATGTTCCAGAATGCACAGTCAACCTCTCTGCGCAGGAATTGTGACTCTATATCACAGTAAATGTGTTTGTTTTAGGATAAATAAAGCTGAGAAAAAATGATAAATTGGAATGATTATTGATGGTCTTTGACAATTATGTGCAATGTTTTGGTAAAAATGTACGACCGAACGTTATGAAGTGAAATTAGGATCCAAGTGACATTCTACGCATGTGCATTTTACCGATACGCACTCACTGTCAGTTTAAGGAATGACTTGATCAGTTCTTTATCAGAAGGAATTATTTTATTATCCAATGGTGGCTCACAATGTGAAGAGCTTTGATTCATGTCAATAAATGAAAATCGTTCTACAAATGCAATTTATTATGTATGGAAAACAAAATGTATAGGCCAAGCTTGGACACAGTAATAACCAATGGCTCAATTAATGAAATATCCAATTCCATTTAAGCTTTGGTTATGATGATCATACTTAATTCTCTACCATGTACAAAATAATCAATAATCTGACCATATAGTATTTTCTTTATATTGTAAAATAGATAATCTATTATAATAATAATAATAATATGCCATTTAGCAGACGCTTTTATCCAAAGCGACTTACAGTCATGTGTGCATACATTTTTACGTATGGGTGGTCCCAGGGATCGAACCCACTACCCTGGCATTACAAGCGCCATGCTCTACCAATTGAGCTACAGAGGACTATTCTATAGTGACCCCCAGGAACAGCACCAATATTAGTTTACTATGGTTCTACAGTATTTCCAATAGATGCATAGCTTTTCTACATACCTGTCAAGTGGAAAAATGAGAGGAAACCAATGACTAACTGTCACTAACAGGATCTGCATACCCATGCAAACTGCTGAACAAATAACCATCCTGTCAATTCACCTTTTAGCAGGCAGGGACACAATGGAGTCAACCATGCTGAACAATTGCTGAGCCTAGAGTTATGGTTCCCTGAATGAGGAAGACCAACAGGGTGGCTGAGTGAATACCCACTCCTGACTGACTGCTCTGGATATAGGCTACAAGCTAAAGAAGAAGTATATCCTATAATGGCGTGCATTAAATCAATCTATGATTTCAGCGCTGAGACCTTGGACGGTCAGAGCGTTCCTCTCAGTAACTACAGGGGCATGGTGCTCCTCATTGTCAACATGGCCACCTTCTGAGGGTCAACAATAGAGGAGGTAGGCTAATGATGATTCATGGTGCTAGCCTATACAGGCTAAAAGCCTAATGCTGGTCAGCGAACATAGGCCTAATTGTGTTGTAGTATTAGAGATATTTTACAGTCAGTCCAAGGGGAATGTTTTTGTTCTCCAAGGGGAATGTTGAGGTGGTGTTCTAATTCTATGGGTCATCCAACAGTACCACAGAATGAATGCACTCATGGAAATGTTTGGTGACCTCAACTTCACTGTCCTGGGATTCTCCTGCAATCAGTTTGGTCTTCAGGCACCTGGTAAGTCTTTTTGAAATAACAATAAGTGTTTTTGATCTGTTGTAACTTATAGGCCTACTTTGTCTCCAGGAGTAATGCTAAGTATCAAAACACTCATGTGTAGGCCCATAGTATGCTTGTTTGTCATGTGGAACAACGATGACGAGACCAGTTTGTTTTTTAAATGTCTCTGTTTCAGAACTAATAAGCTTACTGTTCTGTTGTATTTGTTGTTGTTGTGTCTTCAGAGGTAAATCATGAAACCCTCAACCTTCTCAAGTATGTAAGGCCAGGTGGGGGGTTTGTCCCCAAGTTCCCTGTGTTTGGCAAGATCGAGGTCAACGGGTTGAATGAAGAACCTCTTTTCGCCTATCTCAAGGTACATTTTACATTTTAGTCATTTAGCAGACGCTCTTATCCAGAGCGACTTACAGTTTTTTAGTGAGTACATACATTTTTCATACTAGCATAAATGTTTAATGGACTAGCACAGTCACACATCAAACTAGATTGATGGCTACGTGGTAGAATATTTGACATGTCCTTATGCACTATTATGTACCTCACTCTAGGGTCAAGTTGAATACCTTATGGACTTCCAGACCTCACTAAAAGCTTTTGTTCATGTCTTCTACAACAGGAGTCTTTGCCCTATGTGAACCCTGTCATAGGAGATATAAAGAAGTTCTACTGGTCACCCATCAAAGTCAATGACATTCGCTGGAACTTTGAGAAGTTTCTAATCGATTCTAAAGGGGTGCCTTTCAGACGGTAAGTTAATCACACGAAGAAGAAGAAAAAATGACTTGACAGTATAATAAATGTATCAATCATTCATTCATTCATAATTCATTCGTTAATTCATTTACAAATAACAAGATTTGAAAATACTTTATAATGGCCTCTCCTTTTCCCCAGTTATGAACTTCATGGCCCTCCTGAGATCGTGGAGAAAGACATCGCAAGCCTTCTATAAATGGAGCCATCTGTTCCCTTTATGGCTGTCAAGAAAGTGGGTCCTTCGCCAGCAGAGGAAGAGTGACGATCTCTCAGTAAATGCAGACTAAATGCAGCTGAGCTGGATCTGATGGAGCAGGGAGAAGGACTCTGAGTTTCAGTGCATTCACTCAGAGTATCAGATCCCTCCAGCCCTTGTTGGTGATTAGTAGGCCTGTAATCAGCATGCTCTCAATGTAACTACTCCCTTTGTTATTGTTGCAAAACAGAGGAAGTGAATAAATCTTTTGCCTGAAATCTTAAAATACGTTGTCCATTTAATTGTTTAACATTGTTAAAACATTATTTGTAGGCTACAGTAGGGGAAAAACCGAGTCTCCAGACTCATAGAAACTCAAACCTACTTGTATGGAATGATATACCATACATAAAGAATATACACAATTTAACTGAGCACTTTATGGATGTTTGATGATAAAATACAATTCATGATTTGGATAGTTTTATGTTTGACATTTCTATACTTTGACGTTTTTCTGATCAAAGAGACTGCTATTCAGAAAAAAATACCCATTTTTTTAAGGTGATAAGATGTCAGACAATCAAAAAATGAGAAAAGTGGAACATGTTTTGAGTGAATATGGAATGGAGGATAGCGCAGAACCTCTGGAAAAGCTACAGAAGGAAATTGAACGTGACGACAGTGAGGTTGAATTAAATGTGGTGGCAGGTGTGATCAGGAAAGTTGGCGTCAAGTGCAAAAAGAGGGATACGTCCTCCAGTAGCTCAGAGATGGAACCTGACGAGGGTGAGGATGAAGTACCTGCGGTGAGGACCACCGAGTTTGGACATGATAAAGAAGAATCTGGTCCAGTAGGAGTGACATTTTTGGAGAAAGTGGACCCTTGCCTTTTGTCGGGTCCATTTGTGGTTTCAGGGTGGGTGAGAAAGGAGTTGGGGGCAGTTGAATGAGTGAAGGTAACCTGTAGTGGACTTGTGATATTTGTTTGTGTCTCTTCTGATAAGAGGGAGCAGGTGCTCTGTGTCACGTAACTTCGGTCAAGATCTGTTTCTTGCTTTGCTCTTAGGAACAGGGCACCATTGAAAGGAGTGATTTCTGGGGTAGCGATAAGTGTGGAGATGGAGCAATTGAAGTTGAGGATTCCTGGTGTTTGTGACGTCCGCCGTTTGGTGCGTCGCAGACCCGGTGGGGAGGGTGGTGAAACAGAGGAGTCACTGTCAGGCCTTTTGAGTCAGAGTCTTTACCCGACAAAGTCATGTTAGGATATATCAGTTAACCTGTTAGAGCTTTTGTGGCGAATCCACTGCGTTGTTTCAGGTGCAACGTTTATGCAGAGATGTATTTGGGTATACGAGATTTGACTTCAGAAGAGTTACAGGGTGTGTTGAGGGGTGGTGTCCCGTCCTCCCAGGCCGTTGGCATGGTGCAGGAGCAAATACGGTCAAAGTAGTGGATGGGGTAGTGGGTTTTTAATGAGTGTAGGCGGTGGTTGTCTAGAGCTATATGTCACTTTCTTAGAGGAACAGGACTAATTAAGATAATTTAATATAGGTAGGCTGTGAGTGGCCTATCACTTCAGTGCAGTAGGTGGCGGTGTATGCACGTACAAGTTGGATGCGATCCGCCCACCAAATCCCGAAGAAGAAAATATAAAAAATCAACATTTGATTTTCCGGTAGTTATGACGGGACGCATGCGTATTTCACTGTTCAATGTCACCGCGACCACTGAACATGGCTGCGGTGGGTTTCAGAAATTGGGCTCGAGCTCTTTCCAATGGGAAACGGCCAGGCTTCTCGGCGCTTCTCTCCCAAGTCAGAGCAGGTTGGTTCATTGATCTTTTTTTCTTTTCTTTCTGCGATATCGTTGTACAAATGCAAAATGCCTGCATCAAGTTGGAATGGAAGTTAGAACATGCAAGGCAGAGTTTCGCTAACCTTGACCTAGCCTAGCTTGCTAACAACAGAGCTGCATCTCGTTCAGTTGTTTACTAACGTCAGTACAAGCTTTATTCAGTAGTATGTAGCTAGCTATCTACGATCAAATAGGAGGCTAGATGATCCCATAAACGTTTACCTAGCCAGCTAACGTTACTGTCTTTGGATAACTTGTGCTAACTACGCTAGGTAGTTTTTTGGTTTGTTCAATTCCTAACGTTACTCTCAAACGGCTAGTTAGCTAGCTGACAATCACACTCTGGTTGATCATAGGGATAAATGGTACTGTATTGACTAATTTCCAAATGTTGTATAGCCTCTGGACCTTCCAAGGGCATGCTGCCAGGTCCATACCCCAAGACCCCCGAGGAGAGAGCAGCAGCAGCAAAGAAGTACAACATGAGGGTGGAGGATTATGAACCAATCCCCGATAATGGCGAGGGGTAAGGAAGCTGGGTACCATGGATAAGGAAGGACACGCCATTGTTTTCCTTTCCTCTATAACCACCCCATTACAGCAGGAGCTGTGTTCCTTTGCCAAACAACTAGCAAATTGATTTGGTAATTCAACCTGTGGGTTGAACTCACTGAAATCCCTATGGGATGCACTATATAGGGTATGAGAGACAATATTGGACAGCAATAGGAGTTTTAACATTTCCTGATTTCTGCATTACCTAAGGTTATTCACCTATGGACTGTTTTCCTGTTGTATTGTGTTTCTGTAGGTATGGAGACTATCCAAAATTGCCAGACAGATCCCAGCATGAGAGAGACCCCTGGTATTCCTGGGACCACCCTGACCTGAGGAGGAACTGGGGAGAGCCGGTAAGATGGGGGAGGAACTGGGGAGAGGTGGTAAGATGGAGGAGGAACTGGGGAGAAGGTGGTAAGATGGAGGTGGAACTGGGGAGAGGTGGTAAGATGGAGGAGGAACTGGGGAGAGGTGGTAAGATGGAGGAGGAACTGGGGAGAGGTGGTAAGATGGGGTATATTTCTATACACTGACTGACTAATAGTGACGATACAGTATCCGCTCTCACAATACTTACACTGAGCAAAAATATAAACGAAACATGTAAAATGTTGGTCCCATGTTTCACGAGCTGAAATAAAAGATCACAGAAATGTTCCATATGCACAAAAAGCTTATTTTTCAAATTTTGTTACACACATTGGTTTATATCTGTCAGTGAGCATTTCTCCTTTGCCAAGATAATCCAGCCACCTGACATGTCATATCAAGAAGCTGATTAAACAGCATGATCATTACACAGGTGCACCTTGTGCTGTGGACAATAAAAGGCCACTAAAATGTGCAGTATTGTCACACAACACAATGCCACAGATGTCTCAAGTTTTGAGGGAGCGTGCAATTGGCTTGCTGACTGCAGGAATGTCCACCAGAGCTGTTTGCCAGATAATTGAATGTTGGCCAGCGACCCGGACAGCTGATGAAAACTGGGGGTTTGCATAACCAAAGAATTTCTGCACAAGCTGTCAGAAATCGTCTCAGGGAAGCTCATCTGCGTGCTTGTCGTCCTCACCAGAGTCTTAACCTGACTGCAGTTCGGTGTCGTAACTGACTTCAGTGGGCAAATGCTCACCTTCGATGGCCACTGGCACACTGAAGAAGTGTGCTCTTCACGGGTGAATATCGGTTTTCAACTGTACCGGGCAGATGGCGTCGTGTGGGCGAGCGGTTTGCTGATGTCAACGTTGTGAACAGAGTGCCCCATGGTGGGGGTATGGGCAGGCAGGCATAAGCTACGGACAATGAACACAATTGCATTTTATTGATGGCCGTTTTGAATGCACAGAGATACCGTGATGCGATCCTGAGGCCCATTGTCGTGCCATTCATCCGCCGCCATCACCTCACGTTTCAGCACAGCCCATGTCACAAGGATCTGTACACAATTTCTGGAAGCTGAAGATGTCCCAATTCTTCCATGGCCTGCATACTCACCAGACATGACACCCATTGAGCATGTTTGGGATGCACTGGATCGACGTGTACAACAGCGTGTTCCAGTTCCTGCCAATATCCAGTAACTTCGCACAGCCATTGAAGAGGAGTGGGACAACGTTCCACAGGCCACAATCAACAGCCTGATCAACTCTATGCGAAGGGGCTGTGTCTGCTGCATGAGGCAAATGGTGGTCTCACCAGATACTGACTGGTTGTCTGATCCACGCCCCTACCTTTTTTTGTTAAAGGTATCTGTGACCAACAGATGCATATCTGTATTCCCAGTCATGTGAAATCCATAGATTATGGCCTAATGAATTTATTTAAATTGACAGATTTCCTTATGAACTGTAACTTAATAAAATATTTTATTGTTGCATGTTGTTTAATATTTCTTTTTCAGTGTGTGTATATATATATATATATATATATATAAATAAATAAAAAATCATGCCTACAAGTATCGTGACAACACGACTGACTAAGACTATATATTAGGTCGGGACGATACCAGTATCCCAAAACTCGTTTAGTATCGTGACAAGAAAACAAAACATGAAGTGGATTAAGTTCTTTTGGAAAACAGCCCTAATGTTGTCATCCAGAGTCACATTTATTTCCCAAGCTATAGCACACAATATTTTACATACAGCAGGTTTTTAAAGGACCAACGAGTTTGAGCTGCTTCGTGTACATTTTTTGCCATAAAATATTGCAATACTGGTATCGCCACAGCCCTACTATATATTGTTCACAGTACACCACTTGATTTCTGTAACTGTACATTTATGTACGTAAACATTTTAATGGCATTACGTCAACGTGTGTAAGCTATTAATCATCATTTGCTCATAGCGCATGTATTTCCCTGACTCATTCACAGTGGTTTCTCACCTGTTGCATTTTATCTTTCTAGATCCACTGGGATTTTGACATGTTCATCAGGAATCGAGTGGACACGTCGCCCAGCCCTGTTGACTGGCACACGATGTGCAAACATCTGTTTGGTTTCGTTGGATTCATGCTGCTGATGTTCTACCTTGGGGAGAAGTTTCCATCTTACCAGCCTGTGGTAAGTATTGCAATGAGAAAGCATCACAGTCTTTGTCTCGGTTGTAATCGCTGGTGTAACCCCTAAGGTGTCACAGACCAGAAGTTAATATAAATATATGCTTTCCTGTTGTATTGAAACCCTTTCCATTTTGGTATCTCAAGACCTTTTACTATGACATCTGGAATTGAAAAGGACTTATCCAATAACAGCCTTTGGGTCTACCCCTCATATGTGTCCCGTGGACACAAAAATTGGATTTAAGTTGGAGCAACAGATCTGATCCTTTGAATACATTTTAATGACGGGTGTACACTGAGTTGGAGATGATGCTACTGCTGTTAGTGTTTTTTCATTGTTTCCTAGCCTTGCTACCAATTCAATAGAGAGAAGACATGCATTGGTAACTGAAGAACAATTATCATATTCCACTATATTTTCCTATTTCATTTCCTTATTATGATGGCTCTCTGGTATTTCTTGAAGGCCATTGTGCACCTTTCTCACACACATAGTCACCAAACACCTGTTAAAGAAAACCCCCCCCAAAAAATCAAATGTCCTCTTCCTGTAGGAAAGGTGAATAGGGACATCGTGTCTGATGCCCCCTGTTAGGTAATCCCTGTTCTCTATTCCAGGCACCGAAACAATACCCTTACAGCAGCCTGCACCTAGAGAGAGGAGGGGATCCCGAGAAACAACCTGAAGAAGTCAAACATTTTAACATTTAAATATCTGCTTCTCTAAATGTGTATATTTCTGTCTGTAATAAATAATTATTAGTGTGACTTCCTCAGTCACACTCCCAATCTTTGACCTGTATCTTTATTCTTTGGAACGCTACTCCTTCTAAAAACCCTTTTAAGATGGAAAAGCCATTCAAACTTTAAAACGTGCAGACAGCTCTGGAATAGGTTGCTTGCATACAACTTTTTGATATAACTTATCCGTGTCGTCGCCTGCTTCCCGTAGCTCTGGTTTCTCAGAGAGAGAGAGAGAGAGTTTGAGTTTTAAATAATCTTTAAATAATCTTTATTGGGTCTGGGAGCCCACCACACAAATACTCATACAAAACCGTATTTACACATCAATTAAAAACACAACTCCAATTCCTCCTCCACAGTAACTGAACACAACAGCATCTGAATACCCCATATACTCATAAACAGATCAATATTGTTGACCAGTTTATAATAGGCAAACTCAATTCTTAGTCTTGCTGCCAACATTCCCTCCAGCATTCCCACCACATCCACAGACCCCTGTCCCTGAATACTGTTCTTTCGGGTCTTCCATATGGCTAATTTTGCTGCCCCTAACACAAAATTAAGCAACACAACTACAGCTTTCTGACTAAACCTGTACTTTGGCCCAAATATATACAGTTGGGAGGAGAAAACCTCTCCCAGAGCTGAGAACCAATTAGTGATCAGGTCAATCATCCCGACCAACCTGGGACACTGTAAAAACAGATGTGCCAGTGTTTCAGACTGAGCACAGAATGGACACCCCTCCCCAACAGTAGGATCCAGGTGTACCAGATACATGTTGGTGGCTATGGCTCCATGTATTATCCTCCATTGGAGGTCAGCTGTCCTCTTATCAATAGGCAGTTTGTATAATGTTCGCCAACAGCCTTTTGGGGAGGCACCTGGACCAAGCACACCCGCCCACCTCGTCGATTTTACCCCTTCCAGGGAAGAGGCATGGGACACCTTTACACATATTCTGTACATGGCCTTCTTTCCCACCTCCTTGAACTCCCCCAGCTCCGGGGTATCGAAGGAAAGCAGCATCCCCACGTCCTCCTCGAATGCCCCCGCCGCAGCACTAACAATCAGTGCAGGGAACACATAATCCAGACCCTCCTTCCACCGATCAGAATTGGAAGTGTCAGTCACATACTGCAGATGAAGTACTGGCAAGGAATCACAGACCTCAGCGACGACCTTCCTCAGTAGGCGAGACGATCGGATCCCCGCTCTTTCTCCCAGCTCCTCCAATGACCTATTCCTGTTCCACATCAGATGACCCAGCTTAGTACACCCCACGCCTAACAGGCATGAACGTAGGCTAGCTGAACCCAGAACACGGGACTGGATGGCAGTGTTGTGAAAAGTCTTCATCCCATCTCTGCCCCACTGAAGCCCCCCTGGTAACCGTGGAGTGGACCCCATCTGAAGCTGGCCTGCCCACAGCGCTTCACTCTTTCCCCAATTGACTCTAGCTGAGGAGGCCCCCTCATACACCTTTAAGGCGTCTGAGAGAACCTTAACATCCTCACCCCCTGTAATAAAAACTGTCACGTCATCTGCATACGCAGACAGTGCTATCGTGGGACCCTTCATTACACCTGGCACAGAGAAACCAGTAAGCTTCGCTCTTAAAAAACAAAGCATTGGTTCAATCGCCAGACTGTATAACTGCCCTGAAATTGGGCATCCCTGCCTGATGCCCCTTTGGACAGGGATGGGACAACTCAAACCACCCCCCACCTTCACCATACACGAGGCCCCAGCATACAGTAACTTCATCCAAGACAAAAAAACATCCCCAAACCCAAAGGCTTTCATTGTTTTAAACAAGTACTGGTGGTCCACACGATCAAAAGCCTTCTCCTGATCCAAAGAAAGTAAACCCACATTTACATCAGACAGTTTACAAATGTCCAAAACATCTCTTATTAGAAACAAGTTGTCAACAATAGAGCGATCAGGTACACAGTAGGACGGGTCCTTGTGGACCAACAATCCCAGATACTCTTTCAACCTGTTTGAGAGACATTTAGAAACAATTTTATATTCTGCACACAGCAAAGCAACAGGTCTCCAATTTTTTATGAGAGCCAAATCCCCCTTTTTTGGCAACAGTGAAAGTACCGCACGTTGACAAGATACAGGAAGAGAGCCCTCATGAAAAGATTCACACACCACTTCATAAAAATCCTCCCCAATAGACCCCCAAAAGTGCTTGTAAAACTCAGATGGTAAACCATCAATGCCAGGGGCTCGGCCTGTTGAGAGCTGCATAACTGCTGTGGACAGCTCTTGCAGTGTAATGTCAGAGTCCAATGCGACTCTTTGCTCAGGTCCCAATTGAGGAAGACCGTGTAACAACTGTTCAGTACACAGAGAGTCACAATCCTCCGCCTTATAGAGGGCAGAATAGAAATCCACGGCATGTTGACGCATTTCACTGTCATCCGTGGTCACCTTCCCATCAGGGAGACGAAGGCAGACCATCTGTTTACGTTGCAATGTCGACTGTCCTAGGTTAAAAAAAAAAAGCACTAGGAGCATCCATATCCTTGAGGGAAACGAAACGAGACCTAATCAAGGCACCCTTCACTCTTTCATGCAGAAACGACCTCAATTCATGTTTCTTGTCCTGTAAGTTCATGACTAGTCCGGGGTCATTCTGAGTGAGCAACTTCAATTCAATAGATTTAATGTTCTGCTCAAGGGCCCTGATAGTCTCTTTAACTTCAATTCGAGACAGAGCAGTATACTGTTGACAAAATAATCGTATTTGGGCCTTCCCAACCTCCCACCATTGTCTCAAGGACTCAAAATTCCCTTTTGTAACCCTCCATTTTTCCCAAAACAACAAAAACCTTTCACAAAACATGACATCATGTAACAATTTAACATTAAAATACCAATAAGATGATGACCTTCGTGGACAGGACAAGTGAATATCAACAGTGACAATATGGTGATCAGAGAAACCCACAGGAGTAATGTCACACCTTCCAACCCTACTACAGTATTGCTCAGATACATACAACCTGTCTAACCTTGCTGCACTGACATGACCTTCATTAACTTTTAGCCATGTGTACTGCCTAACTTTTGCATTCCTTACTCTCCACACATCAGAAAGCTCAAACTCAGTTAATAGACCAGACAGACAAATTGCTGACCGCAGGTGAGGTTCTTCAGCGGTGCGATCAACAGTAAAATCCACTGTACAGTTCCAGTCCCCCCCTAAAACCATACTCCCCTCTTGGTCACACTGTCTTAAGGTTTCCTTTATTTTATCAAAACCAACAATACGCTCTGTACCCTCATTAGGAGCATAAACATTAAAAAAAAAAAAAAAAAAAAAACATAACATCCACCTTGACCAATAAAACCCGACCCTTGACAATCTCTGTTGTAGATACCACAGTCACCCCTAAGCCTGAAGAAAACAAGATTGCCACCCCAGCACTGAAATTAGTACCATGACTGAGTATATGCTGCCCCTCCCACCACATACCCCAGTCAGCCGCATTTTCCTCATCACTATGTGTCTCCTGTAGGAAAACTACATTAAGCCTTTTCTGTTTTATTACTTCTAATACCCAAGCCCTCTTATTCCTGTCCCTTCCTCCATTAATGTTGAGAGAACCTACCCTTAGTACCTCCATATAGAAAAGAAAAAGGAAAAGCAGAAGATACCACAGAGAAACCAGACAAAGAGAATAGAACACCCTATGAGGCATAATCATCATCATTATTTAAATGTTCTCTTAACCTGACCACGTTTCCCACCACCCTTTGCTGCTGCAACAGCAGTAACACATTTCCTCAAGTGAAACCGCTTCTTCTCACTCAACTGGTCTAACCCCACCGTCTTCTGTAACATCACAGCTGACCTCACAAACTTATCAACATCAAAATAATCTGCCAATTTGACAGATTTCCCAAAAGTCTGATCCAGAAACCCTTTTACCTCCTCTAGATCGTAAATTGAGTCCTCACCAGCTGGTACCGTATCAAGAGAGATATCCATATCCATATCCTTCTCCTGATCCTCCTCAACTGAGGCCACAGACCACTGACTCCCCTCTACCACATCCCTTTCAACACTCCCCACTTGCACCCCATCACTCGTACCAGGCATCTCCTCCACTACCTGGGAGACTAGCCCCACCTGAACCCCATTACTCGTAGTGGGCATCTCCTCCACTACCTGGGAGACTAGCCCCACCTGAACCCCATTACTCGTAGTGGGCATCTCCCCCACTACCTGGGAGACTAGCCCCACCTGAACCCCATTACTCGTAGTGGGCATCTCCTCCACTACCTGGGAGACTAGCCCCCCCTGTAACCCAGCACTCATAGTGGGCATCTCCTCCACTACCTGGGAGACTAGCCCCCCCTGTACCCCAGCACTCATAGTGGGCATCTCCTCCACTACCTGGGAGATGAGCTCCACATGAACCCTCTCCTGTAACCCATTACTTGTAGTGGGCATCTCCTCCACTACCTGGGAGATTAGCTCCACATGTACCCCCTCCTGTACCACAGCACTCGTACTGGGCACCTCCTCACTAGTCTGAGGAAATGGCCCTTCAGATCCATCCTTACCTTCTACAACAAAAAAATCCCCCTGCATAACATTTCCCTCTGGTACAAGTTGCACCTCTGTGCCCTCAACACGGACAACTTGTTCCTCAGCAACAGATGCGTGCGGCTGCTCTACCACTGTCAGCCCACCTCTTCCTACATCAGTGGGCCCAGGCGTTACGAGGACCACCTGCGCCCCTCCCTCTGCCTTCTCCCTTTTCGGGCAAGCATGTCGCTTATGACCAACATCCCCACACTCAAAACACCGTTGACTACCTGTACTAGCATAAGCCATATACAATCTATTGTCATACTTGACTTTAAACGATAACTCCAAAGTCTGTTCCGGTGAGTCCAAAAACATAAACACCTGTCGCCGAAACGACATTACCTGTTTCAACGCCGGGTGTTTGCAACCCAATGGGACAACCTTAATTGAACTTGCAAACTTCCCAAAGCGCAATAACTCGCGCTCC